GGCTTTGCCTATGGCTGCTAGCGAGTCTCAGGCACAGCCTTTCCCCACAGGTGTGGCTGCACCTGCTCTAGCACAGAAGCCTGGGGACCTGAGAATTGCACCATGCTGTGTGCTGACCCCTACGCTTCTGCCCTTCACATGGCTCAGTGGAAACGCTACGTGTAGCACAGTGGGCAAGCTGGGACCTGTGGTGACCCTGGGGTTGGAGGCCAGGCAGGGCTGTCACTGAGAAGCGGGACCCAGGAAACGGATGACTCCCAGGGATCTGAAGCCTGGGGGCCGGGGAATGAATTACTCCCTGCACCCACCAGTCCTTCCTGAGCACTGGCTCCTAGAGAAGCATCTCAGAGCAGAGGCAGCCACACCCACGCAGGGGAGAGACCCCTGGACAAGGCCTACAGCAGGGTCACTGGGCCTGGGCCTGACCGTGCTAGAAACAGCTCAGCCAGAGAGGATGGGCAGACAGTGTCAGCACTCCTGAAAGATCTCAGCTCCCAGCCTTTCACTCCTGGGGATACACAGCCACACCTGTAGACACAGCCACGCCTATAGAGACACACACCTGCAGAGACACAGCCACACCTGCAGACACAGCCATGCCTATAGAGACACACACCTGCAGACATACCCACACTTGTAGAGATACCCACACCTGCAGAGACCTGAGATACACCCGCAGACATCCATGCCTGCAGAGAGAGACACATACCTGCAGAGATGGCAGTGGCGGCGGGGGAGGGGTGGGGGGGTCTTGCAGTGTGCAGAGAGGTCTGGCGTGTGTGATCAGCCATTGCTGGGCCTTTCCTGTGTTTGTAGCACTCATTCCTTGTATTTATAAACTTAGTTTATGTGAATTTGTTCTTTAAGAAGTTGCACAATCATAATCCAGAGCTGACGTTGGTGTGACTTCTCTCTTGATGGGCTCACTTAAAGGGCTGCTGCTCCTGGAGATTGGGAAGAAAACTGCTACATAAACCAAAAAGCAAAAAACTTACTTAAAAAAGACAGATTCACAGGAAGTTAGAAATAGCACACAAGTGCTCCTTGTGCCATCCCCCCGTTTCTCCCAGTCTCAGACTGTCCTGCAGCCTCAGCCCTGTGCGCGTGTCTGTCCTGCAGCCTTGGCCCCGTGCGCGTGACTGTCCTGCAGCCTCGGCCCCGTGCGTGTGTCTGTCCTGCAGCCTCGGCCCCGTGCGCGTGACTGTCCTGCAGCCTCGGCCCCGTGCGCGTGTCTGTCCTGCAGCCTCGGCCCCGTGCGCGTGTCTGTCCTGCAGCCTCGGCCCCGTGCGCGTGTCTGTCCTGCAGCCTCGGCCCCGTGTGTGTGACCGTCCTGCAGCCTCGGGCCCGTGCATGTCTGTCCTGCAGCCTCGGCCCCGTGCGCGTGTCTGTCCTGCAGCCTCGGCCCCGTGCGCGTGACTGTCCTGCAGCCTCGGCCCCGTGCGCGTGACTGTCCTGCAGTCTCGGCCCCGTGCGCGTGACTGTCCTGCAGCCTCGGCCCCGTGCGTGACTGTCCTGCAGCCTCGGCCCCGTGCGCGTGACTGTCCTGCAGCCTCGGCCCCGTGCGTGACTGTCCTGCAGCCTCGACCCCGTGCGCGTGACTGTCCTGCAGCCTCGGCCCCGTGCGTGTGACTGTCCTGCAGCCTCGGCCCTGTGTTTGACTGTCCTGCAGCCTCGGCCCCGTGCGCGTGTCTGTCCTGCAGCCTCGGCCCCGTGCGTGTGACTGTCCTGCAGCCTCGGCCCCGTGCGTGTGACTGTCCTGCAGCCTCGGCCCTGTGTTTGACTGTGCTGCAGCCTCGGCCCTGTGTTTGACTGTCCTGCAGCCTCGGCCCCGTGCGCGTGTCTGTCCTGCAGCCTCGGCCCCATGTGTGTGACTGTCCTGCAGCCTCGGCCCCGTGCGTGTGACTGTCCTGCAGCCTCGGCCCCGTGCGTGTGACTGTCCTGCAGCCTCGGCCCTGTTTGACTGTCCTGCAGCCTCGGCCCCGTGCGCGTGTCTGTCCTGCAGCCTCGGCCCCGTGTGTGTGACTGTCCTGCAGCCTCGGCCCCGTGCGTGTGACTGTCCTGCAGCCTCGGCCCTGTGTTTGACTGTCCTGCAGCCTCGGCCCCGTGCGTGTGACTGTCCTGCAGCCTCGGGCCCGTGCGTGTCTGTCCTGCAGCCTCGGCCCTGTGTTTGACTGTCCTGCAGCCTCGGCCCTGTGTTTGACTGTCCTGCAGCCTCGGCCCCATGCGCGTGTCTGCCCTGCAGCCTCGGCCCCATGCGTGACTGTCCTGCAGCCTCCGCCCCATGTGTGACCTCAACCCTGTGTGTAACTGTATTGCAGCTTTGGAACCAGGACACGGCACTGGGCAGTCATGGGGCGTGGACAGCTTCCTCAGCTCTACACACAAGGCATGTGCCTGTGTGAGCTTAGCTCTCTACCAACCCACTCCTGTGCAGCACCCCATGGCTGCCTCAAGCGGCCATCATGGCCTCACACCCCCTCCCACTGCTACCCCACACCCCTGGTCTTCCTGTGACTTTGCAGATAGGGAAGGTTCATAACTGCAGTCAGGTGATGGGGCCTTTTAGGAATGGTCGTTTCATCAGCAGCTCTCCCAGGAGGTCCATCTGGGCTGCTGCTGGGTCAGTGCTTTCCTGCCTGCCTCCCGCCCTCCATCAGTGCCTCTTCCTCTCCCATCCCCCAGTCAGCGCCTCTCCCCACCGCATCAGCACCTCTTCCCCCCGACCACTGTTCCCACAGGATGCTCTCCTCGCACACCATGCCTGCGCTACAGCCCACTCCCCACAGCCTGTGTCCCGCACCTCAGAACCAGGGCCACACCCTTGGGCCCAGGCATTGTTCGGAGGGGCCCCTGGAGAGCAGTCGTGTCCAATGGCCCAGCCCTACTGGGAGCCTCTGTCGCCCACTGTCCCAGTGTGGGGTGTAGGTACAGCCCGGGGATGACCCCTTCAGCACCACCTGCAGATCTGAGATTCTATCTTTGTCCTGAGGACACTCACCCTCGTGTCATGCTGTGATGACACTGGGCCCCTGGAGAGTTACACTTAGGGCAGCTTGAGAGGGTGCCAGGCACCCGGCAGCCTTGGGTGCAGGCAATGTGGCTTCCGGCAGCACCAGAGCAGGCCAGTGGCTCCTTGCTGCACCGGGTCTCTGGGTGGTGCAGGCCGGTGGGGACCTGCGTCAGAGGCTGTGGGGGGGACCCTGGGCACCCGGCAGCCTCCCAGGTATCAGCAGCTGTGGAGCAGGAGCAGCCTGGACGGGCTGGCTTAATGCAATTAAGAGATGTTGTTGGAAGACCAGTGGCTGTCTGTTCCAGAGGCGGCACATGGAGCCAGGCTGCACAGCAGGAGCACAAGCCACAGTGGGCCCCACAGGACTTGGGACAGGCTTTGTCCACCCCTGCCCACAGCCCTCCCTGCACGCCCCTTTCCAGCCAGCCAGCCACCCAGTCAGGCTACCCCAGGGCCACAGCGTGCTCACCTCCTGGTGGGGAGCCTTTTATTTTTTCTGCTTCCCATCAGCACAGAGTTCCAGAGTTGGGGAGGGGCCTGCCTGAACGCCCAGCCCTCCACTCCATAAATGAGCCCAAAGCCCACTGGGGCACACCCATCTGTCTTGTTTAATGGATTGAGGAGCGCACCGTGGGTCTCAAGGAGTGGCGAGGTGATGGATGAGGCCTTTCTGCGTCTAACAGCATGATGTATAATGAAGTATTTATGATTTATTCCAGCTAATAACCTGTGTGGATTGCAGGGTGTGTGCAAGCAGACGGCGAGGCCTCAGCACTGCTCTCACATGCACCGCGTGCTCCCACGGCCTCAGGCGCACACGTGTGCCTGCTCACGCTCAGAGTCATGTGTACCATGCCCTCCCAGGCTGCACACGCACACTCACAGGCACACGCACCTTGTACCTATGCGCCGTGAGACAGCTTCGGGCCGGGAGTGCAGGCTCTGAGGCTGCAGCCGCTCTCCCGGGCTCCCCACCCTCGGTGGCCTGTGCTGTCTGTGTTGAGCTATTTGAGAAAGCAGGTAGCAGGGAAGGTCAGTTCCCAGCAGGAGGCTCCAGGAACTTCACGGGGACAAGCAGAGGCCATGGCTTTGCCTGAGGAAGAAAGTGTGGGGCAACCCAGCCACTGTTCTAGGACCAGTGTGGTCAGTTGCGGCGGGCAGGAGGTGGACACAAGTGGAGGCTCCAGGAACCAGGAAAGGCCCGTCCTCCTTAGCACCAGCCCCTCCCTGTGGGGCGGGCAGGAGGTGGACACAAGTGGAGGCTCCAGGAACCAGGAAAGGCCCGTCCTCCTTAGCACCAGCCCCTCCCTGTGGGCCTCGGTGTGGGCTTCGGAGCCCCTCCCATAGAGAGGAGCTGGGCAGTCACTGCTGGACCCCACCAGGGTCGGGTGTTGAGAGGTGTCTGGTTCACTTGTTTGACTGAATATTTGGCCTGGATTCTTTCGTGGGCCTGAGAGAAACAGCAGCAGGCCCTGGTGGGCCTCAGCCCCTCCCCCAGAGCCTGCCTGCATGAGGGGTGGCCCCTGTGTGCTGCTGTCTAGGGAGGCCATCTGGGGCCTTACAGCACAGCCAGGAGGCCCGGCACGCGCTGGCACCCGTCCTGAGCGAGGCTCACCCGGCGCACCCTGATGCCCGTCCTGAGTCAGGGTCAAAGCATCAGATCCTGTGCTTGGTGCTTAGAAAAGGCCACACATCCCACCTGTGACCGGTGGTTACCAACGACTGTGACAGAAACAGGCTGAGCCGACTTGCTAATGCAGGGTGTCTGCAGCCCACAGCCCAGCAGTGCTTCAGCCACCTCCTGGTCCGGGGAGGCTCTGGGCCCCCGGAGGAGGTACATACGGCTGAGGTTGGGGAGGGGCAGATCCCATGCCGTGGGCACCGTCCCACCTTGGGATGCGCATCGTGACCTTCAGGAATGTGGGCTTACCTGGATGGCTGCTTCTGTATTGCGGTTGCCGTGGGGGTAACCAGAGCCCCCTTTCCTCAGGGGACACCGTGGTGTTTAAGGACGGCCAGTACTGGATCCGAGGCCGGACCTCGGTGGACATCATCAAGACCGGAGGCTACAAGGTCAGCGCCCTGGAGGTGGAGCGCCACCTGCTGGCTCACCCCAGCATCACAGGTGCGCGGCCAGATGGGCACTGGGGAGGCTGGGCTAGACGACCAGGTGCCGCCTTCCCCGGCTGCGGCTGCGTTTTGGAGGATTGCGGATGAGGCAGAGCTCCCTGTGATGCTTGCTTCTGCTCCCTACCCTGGCCGGGGCACACAGGGCTGATGGGGCACAGACTGCTCAGTGTTGGAGCTGCCCCCCACTTACCCACCGGGTCTCCCAGGCCTGATCAGGCACAGCTCGCATCTGCATGATGCCCCTGCGGGAGGGCAGTAGGGAGAGTGCAGAGAGCCAGGGGTGGGAAGGCTGAGCCCTGCGAGCACCCAGCGCCAGATCCACCATGGGGAGCCGCGCTCACTCCCCTCCCCACAGGACCAGCTGGCACCAGGACGGGCTCCAGGCCTGCAGCCAGACCGAGCACTCCCTGTGCATCCGGGCCCTCTCCAGCCTGTGAGTGCCACTGAGGCGTTCCCATGTCCCCATACCGTTCTTCTCTCTGCAGATGTGGCTGTTATTGGAGTTCCGGATATGACATGGGGCCAGCGGGTCATTGCTGTGGTGACTGTTGGAGAAGGGCACTCACTGTCCCACAAGGAGCTCAAAGAGTGGGCCAGGTAGGGCTGGGTGGGCGGGCAGGGCATCTGGGGGGTCTTGGTGGTCCGGGGTGAGGGCTGCCCTAGCTCTTGCCTCATTCAACGGTTCCAAGCTCTTGTCCTGGGTCCAAGAAGTATGAGGTTACACTGACAGTTTGACGGGTGAGGAGGGAGGAGAAGAATCTTCCTGAGCGATTAATTTTACTGAGTTCTCAGCAGAGAGAGAGGACGTGAGGGTGGTTAGCCACCCGGAGTTGGGTGTGGCTGGGTCCAGGGCTTTTTTGGGGCACAGAATGGGGAGAGGCAGGCTGCAGGTGACATTGGAAAAGGGTATGTGGTTGGTTAAAAAGCATTATTCAGAAAGAAACAGTGGGCAAAGGGGAGTAGAAGTTCTTGCTCCGGGCTGCAGGCTCCAGGCTGTGTTTGGTTGAAGACTGGTTTCCATGGGGGCCGCCCTGTCCCTCTGGACATTTGCCTGCCCCTGTTGCTGTCTTAAAGAGCTCCCCGAGGCAGTAATTTATAAGAAAAGAGGTTTAATCTGCTCCCAGTTCTGCAGGCTATAAGGAAGCATGGCTGGGGAGGCCTCAGGAAACTTCCATCCTGGTGGAAGTGAGGGGGAGGCCGGCCCGTCCCACATGGTGGAGCAGGAGTAAGAGCTCACCTATGGCAGATTCCTTCAGAACAGACGTTTGTCTCTGTTCTGTTCCCTCTCCGTTCACACCCTCCCTGCCTCCACCCTGACTCGCCTTCTCGTGAGCACTGAAGGTAGTTTTGGCTCATCAGATGTGACTCCACAAAGAGCAGGAACCCTTGCCCATCAGGCAGCACAGAGGCCCGGGTGTGCAGGGCACAGCTTTCATTAAACAGCCACCTTGTGGAAAAGAAAAGGTAGGTGTTGTGCTCAGAGCTGCGCTGGAGAGTTTCAGGGTCCAAATGTGCAGGAGCTGAGGTCCTGATGCTCCTCAGCCCTTGGCCGTGCTCAGGGCCACCCCTGCCTGAGGACACCAGGCCGCCCTCTCCCTGGGGACACCAGGCTGCCCGCCCCTGCTCTGTACATCTCTCTGGAGTCAGGCTCCTCGCGCAGCATCATGTGGGCAATGACAGTGGGTCACAGCTTCCTGAGGCAGGAAGCTGTGGGCTGGGCACTTGAGGGCCTGCTGGGGAGAAGCCACCTATGCGGGGCAGGACCAGGCTGGGAAGGCCACCCGTCATGCGGTCACAGCCAAGAACTTGCCAGTCCTGCAGGAGTCCCGGAGCCAGGCCCTTACTGTCCAGGCCACTGGCTGTGCTCAGGCGACAGCAGCCCCCACCTGCAGTGCTAACCCAGTTCACTGTGCCCAGACTGAGACTGCAGTAGGACAGGTGTTGGGTCTCCTTTCAGATTGAAAGAAGTCCCAGATCTGTGAACTTCAAGTCCTCAATTTAAACTACCGTAAAGCAAATACACGGCCACAAAGGCTCCACTGGTCAACTCTGTCAAACCTTTAGGGCAAAAAATAAAAGCAGACCCAACAAAGTAAGTGTCTGACGAAACAGAGCAGGGAGGAGCACTTCCTAACTCCCCTCCCGGGACCATCGCTGTCCCGAAATCAAAGCCGGACAAGGAAACGATAGGACAGAGTTCCCAGTGGGCACACACACAGTCCCTAACACAACATCAACAATGACATCCGATCAACGCACACAAAGACGGCACACACAATCCCCAACACAACATTAGCAGTGACATCCGGTCAACGCACACAAAGACGGGGCACACACAGTCCCTAACACAACATCAGCAGTGACATCTGATCAACGCACACAAAGACGGCACACACACAATCCCCAACACAACATCAGCAGTGACGTCCGGTCAACGCACACAAAGACGGCACACACACAGTCCCTAACACAACATCAGCAGTGACATCCGGTCAACGCACACAAAGACGGCACACACACAGTCCCTAACACAACATCAGCAGTGACATCCTGTCAACGCACACAAAGACGGTACACACACAGTCCCCAACACAACATCAGCAGTGACGTCCAGTCAACGCACACAAAGACGGCACACACGCAATCCCCAACACAACATCAGCAGTGACGTCCAGTCAACGCACACAAAGACAGCACACACACAGTCCCTAACACAACATCAGCAGTGACATCCGATCAACGCACACAAAGACGGCACACACACAGTCCCTAACACAACATCAGCAGTGACGTCCGATCAACGCACACAAAGACAGCACACACACAATCCCCAGCACAACATCAGCAGTGATATCCAGTCAACACACACAAAGACGGCACACACACAATCCCTAACACAACATCAGCAGTGACGTCCGATCAACGCACACAAAGACGGCACACACACAGTCCCCAACACAACATCAGCAGTGACGTCCGATCAACGCACACAAAGACGGCACACACACAATCCCTAACACAACATCAGCAGTGACATCCGGTCAACGCACACAAAGACAGCACACACACAATCCCCAGCACAACATCAGCAGTGACGTCCGATCAACGCACACAAAGACGGCACACACACAGTCCCTAACACAACATCAGCAGTGACGTCCGATCAACGCACACAAAGACGGCACACACACAGTCCCTAACACAACATCAGCAGTGACGTCCGATCAACGCACACAAAGACGGCACACACACAGTCCCTAACACAACATCAGCAGTGACGTCCGGTCAACGCACACAAAGACGGCACACACACAATCCCCAGCACAACATCAGCAGTGACGTCCGATCAACGCACACAAAGACGGCACACACACAGTCCCTAACACAACATCAGCAGTGACGTCCGATCAACGCACACAAAGACGGCACACACACAGTCCCCAGCACAACATCAGCAGTGACGTCCGATCAACGCACACAAAGACGGCACACACACAGTCCCCAACACAACATCAGCAGTGACGTCCGATCAACGCACACAAAGACGGCACACACACAATCCCCAACACAACATCAGCAGTGACGTCCGATCAACGCACACAAAGACGGCACACACACAATCCCCAACACAACATCAGCAGTGACGTCCGATCAACGCACACAAAGACGGCACACACACAGTCCCCAACACAACATCAGCAGTGACATCCGGTCAACGCACACAAAGACGGCACACACACAATCCCTAACACAACATCAGCAGTGACATCCTATCAATGCACACAAAGACAGCACACACACAGTCCCCAACACAACATCAGCAGTGACATCCTATCAATGCACACAAAGACGGCACACACACAGTCCCCAACACAACATCAGCAGTGACATCCTATCAATGCACACAAAGACGGCACACACACAGTCCCCAACACAACATCAGCAGTGACGTCCGGTCAACGCACACAAAGACAGCACACACACAGTCCCCAACACAACATCAGCAGTGACGTCCAGTCAACGCACACAAAGACGGCACACACACAGTCCCCAACACAACATCAGCAGTGACATCCTATCAATGCACACAAAGACGGCACACACACAGTCCCCAACACAACATCAGCAGTGACGTCCGGTCAATGCACACAAAGACGGCACACACACAGTCCCCAACACAACATCAGCAGTGACGTCCGGTCAACGCACACAAAGACGGCAGTACTGAAGCCAGGGATAGAGGGTCACTTTCCTATTCAAAACTGGGTTCCTGTAATTCACCATATTTACAGAATGTAGAAGAAAAAGCATATTTCAAGAGATACAGAAAAAGCATTTGCAAATCTCAAAACCCTTTTGTAACAAAAACTCTTAGCAAACCAGGAGAAGGAAAATTCCTGATTCTGATGAGGGCGTCTATAAAAAGCCACCAGGTGACGTCCTGCTCAGTGGGGAGCTGCTGGCACTTTCTTCTTGTGACCAAGAAGGGGTGTCTGCCCTTCCCAGTGCCCCCCAGTCTCATTCAACCAGAGTCTGTTCGCTGTTAGAGGTCGAGACACTGGTTACACATGGAGGCTGGGGAGACTCAGGCAGGCATGGGCTTCTGAGGACCTGGCCGTGTTCCCTTTCAGCCTGGGTGCCACTCAGATGGGGGCAGTTGCTTCAATCAAACTTCAGAAATTCCTACACAGGCCAGGCACAGTGGTTCCCGCCTGTAATCCCAGCACTGTGGGAGGCCAAAGCAGGTGGATCACCTGAGGTCAGGAGTTCGAGACCAGCCTGGCCAACATGGAGAAACCCTGTCTCTACTAAAAATAAAAAATTAGCCGGTCATGGTGGCAGGCACCTGTAATCCCAGCTGCTCCGGAGGCTGAGGCAGGAGAATTGCTTGAACCCAGGAGGCGGAGGTTGCAGTGGGCGAGATCACACCGCTGCACTCCAGCCTGGGCGACAGAGCAAGACTCCGTCTCAAAAAAACTGCACATCCCTCACCACACTGTGCATTGGACAGCCGGGTGTGAATTACACCTCCATGTAAATATCTGTAATAGTTTTATGTAACTGTGAAATATGTGGGAAAGTTGGAGGTGGGCGCAGTGACATGTGCCTGTAGCACTTGGGGAGGCCACAGGAGGATTCTTTGAGCCCAGGAGGTGAAGGCTTCAGTAGCTGTGACTGCACCACTGCACTCTGGCCCAGGCAACAGTGAGACCCTGTCTCAGAAAGAAGAGAGAAAAAAAGAAAAATGTGGAGGTCAAGGTTGATAGCAGCACTGAGGTGGAAGCCAGCTGCCCCTGGGGAGTGAGGGACTAGGCTGGGCCGACTCTCCTCCATCCTGAGAGGCATTCGGGCAGGGGCAGGTAGGCAGGGGGCCTTGCTGCGTCTCTGGCCGTTTCTGGATGGCAGGCAATGCTTTCTCCATGAAATGCGTCAAGAAAACACGACACTTGGTTTCTGGACTTTTCTGAGATGAGAACAGTAACCTGAACGGTCAACGGTCGGATTGTTTTCTGACACGGCTCAGTGCAGCCCGCAGGCCCTGAGCCAGCCCTCCCTGTGCCTCGGCCGCAGCCGCACGACCACCTGCCTTCAGGGGG